ACCTCCCCATTACGTTTTGGCAAAAAGGAACTGCCTTAACCAAACCTTTCCACAGCGTTGGTTCGAAAGAATGTTGCAGCATCGAATGGCCACAACGTTCACCTGATCTAACACCAATGGATTTCTTTTTTGGGTGGGTGTTGAATCGGTATGATAAAGAAAAAAGTTTATGAGAGAAATCCCCACAGAGTGGACGAATTAAAAGAGTACATCCCAGAGATCTATTGAAATTGTGGCAGATCAGGATTTGTGCCGTGCTGTGTATCAGAATGTTCTGGAAAGGTTCGAGGAATGTCGCAATGTTGAAGGAGGATATTTTGAATACTTAAGAGATTAAACTGTGCTAAAAAAATTAAATAAAGTGTCAAACAAATGTACATAAACAGTTTTGAACAAATCTGATTGTAACAAATAAATATAAATGTAATAAAATGTTCTTAAAGTATGTAAACTGCATACCTACAAAGTGTAAGCCTACTTTTGACCCACCCTGTATATTAATCAGAGAAACTTCACTCAAATGTGTGCGCGTGAGGCAATGTGCAAATTTGAATGAGAATCGAACGAAGTGGAGAAATTTTTACCTTGACATGTTTCGCTAGTGAACCGGCTTCATCAGAAGAAAAAAAAAGAATTTTATTTTATGAAAAGGGGAAAAAATCTACATTAGCGACACGAAACGTAATTCATGTTAAACTTGATTTGAACGTTTGATTTTTACCTTAAATGTGTAGTTGCATAAATTAGATTTTAACCAATTTCATCTCGGTTTATTAACGCTCACCCCTTTTCTTACTAAGTTAGTACCGAGACAATATAGGATACGGAAACCATGGAGAGAAAAAATATCTTAGTTAACATCTCATTTCGAAACGTTCATATGCTTAACGTTAATTAAATTTGGCCTTGCTAATAAACATTTTGTTCTTGTGAAATCAAATTCTGTCTACTAATGACACAGGATCACTGACGAAACAAGACATTATACTTCTTTCAAACTTTCTTTCATATATATATATATATATATATATATATATATATATATATATATATATATATATATTTTATTAAAACATTAAGTCTGCTTATTTTTATCATAATCCGTCCATGTTCACGGATAATTTTCCGTGTATAACAATCAAATGATGCAAGAAATGAACCGTAATAGTGAAAATCACTTTTATATCCCTAAGTACTTTCCTTCTCTTTCTGAGATCATCATCATCAGGGGTGAAACCAGTAAGGCGAAAACTATGTGTAATGGATAGCTACATATATTTTTTGCCTTCGTAGTTGCATCCCTGGTGATGATCTCAGAAAGAGATGGAAAGTACTTAGGAAATAAAAGTGATTTTCACTGTTTCGGTTCGTTTCATTTGATTGTAATACAGGGAAAATTATCCGTGAATATGGACGGATTATGCTAAAAATAAGCAGACTTAATGTTTGTAATTTATTTAATCAGACATGCCGAAAAAACAATTTGCTTGCCTTTAATATTTTATTTAATTTATATATATATATATATATATATATATATATATTAAAAAAGAAGAGAAGAGAGGTGCCGCAAAAGTTTTTGGTTGTAATGTGGATTTTTTTTTTTTAAATATGTTTTATTTTCCATAATTTTACTACACGTGTTTCTGGTCTCGCGACCGTCTTCAGGTAAAAGGCAGAGATTTCCACATATTATTAAAAAAAATTAATTTTTTTCCTTGTTAAATATTCTCGATATGAGACATTCTCTGTTTTTGTGTTAGTAATCCGAATGTCTTTCTTGAATTCAAGACAGACATTTGAATTATGGAAAATAAAACATAATATTTTTTTTTAAAAATCCACATTACAACCAAAAACGTTTGCGGCACCTCTCTTCTCTTTTTTTTTTTTAATATACACACTTTTCTCTCGTTGGAACCACTATAACCTCTTTCTTTTATATATATATATATATATATATAAAATGGACTGCTTTACTATTTTACCAGTAGGTTATAAATACTGATATATCAGAACAGTCAGTTTTTAATTTGTGCTTGACAATTGCTATGTGCCTGAGATCCAGTTGCACCACACGGTGAGGAACAAAGATATATTTATTTCTATACATATTTAAATATGGATGCGTGTGACTGTCCTTCGCACACACGTAGACATATGTGTGAGTAAATAGACACACACACATCCATATATCAGACACGCATATTTTACACTCACATGTGTGTATGTGTGCGCCAATTATGAATGAATGCACGACTATATATTGATGTGTGTGTTTAAATTACTCACACACATGTATATATAGTCATGCATTTATTCTTTATTCATAATAGGCGTGCACTCACACACACTTGTGTGTGTGTGTGTATATATATATATATATATATATATATATAAATGCTCACCCGAATACACACACACGCAAACAAACATATGTATATGAATGAAATAGTCCAGTCCAAATTCATTTTTTGATCATCATTAACTTTTGTTAGGTAATTTTTATTTTTTCAGATCCATTTTAAACAAAGTAGATACAAACAGAAGACAATCATGGGAGAAGGGAAACAGTGTGTATATATATATATACATATATATATATCTTTACTAAACTGAGGTAAGTACAGCACAAGAGCAGATAGGTGTAAATTAAGTGGGAAGATTGTGTTACGCCAATTCGAAATCCTGGTTTTTTAACTGAGCTAGAGCTCTGTCCACTATCTCCAGTGGAAAATAAGCAATTAAAAAAAAAAAATAAACGAAATTAGTTACAAATGCAACTGAATCAGTCCAAGACAAGGTAAAAGTGTGGTGGGGGCTTAAAAACATGTCAGTTCAACATGACTATGAATGACTGTTATGCATCAACAAATATTGCAAATACCAACAAGGATTCTGACCACGAACAATTGATATTTACTAGGATAAAGAAGATTGTGTTGTGTCAGTCTTTCAAGTGGGGAGGGCCAGCCTACCTTGAAAATATTTACTAAGCTTAGCTTAATGACGGCTAGGAAAAAATGAGATGAAAAAGTGTGTGTAGTGGGGGTCAACCTAACTTGAAATATATATGAAACTTAGCTAAGTGCAGAACAATGCCAAACAATGTGAAATGGAATGAGGAAGATTGTGCTGCGCCACTCTATAAAATGGGGAAGTCCTATCTATGGTGAAGATATTTACTAAGCTTAGCTGAGTGAAGTATAGTGGGAACTGTGATAAAGAAGATTGTATTGCACCAATTTTCCACATAGGGAGAACCTGCCTACCCTGAAATTATTTACCAAGCTTAGGTGATTGGAACACAATGCCAATGGGTGGGAAATGGAAGGAGAAAGATTGTGATGCGCCAACCTTCCAACTGGGCATGTCTTTTCTACTTTGAAATTATTCACTAAGCTTAGCTTAGTGCTGTACAAGGCCAGTTAGAAGAAAATGGGACAAAGAAGATCATATTGCACCAGTCTATAAAGTAGGAAGGACCATCTGTTGTTATATAAAAAAATGATGGGCAGACTAGAATGGACTTCACAGTAAGTAAAATACATTCAAACAGAGATAGATAGGAAGAAAAAGAAAGAAGAAAAGAGCATAGATAGATAGATAGATAGATAGATAGATAGATAGATCTTAACAGACACTATCATGATACATATTTCAAAATTGAAATCTACAATTCGCATTTGTTTATGTCAGGTATAAATATTAGATCTGGTACTAATTCAATAGATTTATCAGACTATCTAACGCTGATGGGTGGCATTATACGAAACTCTGGAGTTGGTCACTGAGATAAGTCCATTGAACATTTATTGAATATTGTTGCTTTAGTTATCCAGTGAGCACTATTTTCAGCAAAATGCTGTCCTTAAAATATGTTAAATTCTAGTAATGTTTACATATTTTGAAAGGGAGACATTCAGTCATATCATTATGATAGATAGATAGATAGATAGATAGATAGATAGATAGATAGAAAGTGACCATGAGAGAAAGTTATGGAATCACTGGAAGGGTCTTCTCAATCATAAAATCCTTCCTAACAGGTAGGTGCCTAAAGGTATTTATCAATGACCAGTCTTCTGGAGCCTTAGAAGTCAACACAGGCATCCCCCAGGGGTCACTTGTCAGACCAACCCTCTTTTTGATCTACATAAATGATCTGCCTAAGGATATACTCAGATCATTTGTAAACATCTATGCCGATGTTACAACTGTATACGGACACACCTCTAAAACTCTCGATGCTCAGAGATTGGCAGCTAAGCTCTCTTCTGATCTTGCACAAACTACCCAATGGGGTAAAAATTGGCTGCTTACATTCAATGCCTCAAAGACCAAGATAGTTACATTCTCGGAGAAGCACTGTGCCATGAAAGACTGTTGGGCCTCAAACTCACAGCTGACCTGAAGGGGAACTCGTACACACGATCCCCTGCTAAGGATGCAGATAAAATGGTCAGCTCTCTGTACCACTCCAGAGCTAGATCAGGCCAAAAATGGAAGACTGTTGTCATATTTGGACAGGAGCTGCTCAAACCTCACTATGCGACCTTGAGTTCAAAAGTGTCTCTGATCCCTTGTGGGTGATGAATTATTCTCCACCCTCCAATCTTTCTCCCATAGGTCAGATGTAGCAAGCTTCTTGCTGATCTACTACTACTCCCACAGAAAGGGCTCAAATAAACTATATTCCCTGGTCCTGCCAAGGCAAACCTTCACAGCAAGAACACGCCACACTACTTACATAGTTGCAAACCTCCCACATTCCCTCTGTATTCCATTGGTGAGAAGTAAGTTCCACAAAAAACAGCTTCTTCCTGTGAACAACGGCCCTGTGGAACTGACTCCCAACAGGATGTTTCCCTGATCACTACAATCTTAACCTGTTCAAGGCTAGGGTTAGCCATTATGTTCCACTCCTATATGCACAAATGGCCTCCAAATATAACCCTCTACCTCAAGTCGTTCCTGGGCATTGTACAGGGTGAAGGTTACTATAAAAAAAAAAGATAGAAAGGAAGAGACCATGATAGATAGATAGAAGGAAAGGAAGTGACTATGATAGAAAAAAAGAAAGTGATCATGAAAGAAAAAAAGAAAGTGATCATGAAAGAAAAAAAGAAAGAAAGAAAGGAAGTGACCACAAAAGAGATAGATAGATAGATAGATAGATAGATAGATAGATAGATAGATAGATAGATAGAAAGGAAGAGACAATAATAGATAGATAGAAAGAAAGGAAGTGACTATGATTGATAGATAGAAAGAAAGGAAGTGACTATGATAGATAGATAGATAGATAGATAGATAGATAGATAGAAAGGAAGGAAGAGACAATAATAGATAGAAAGAAAGGAAGTGACTATGATAGATAGATAGATAGAAAGTAAGAGACAATAATAGATAGATAGAAAGAAAGGAAGTGACTATGATAGAAAGAAAGAAAGAAAGGAAGTGATCATGATAGAAAGAAAGAAAGAAAGAAAGGAAGGAAGGAAGAAAGTGATCATGATAGATAGAAAAGAAGTGACCACCATAGATAGATAGATAGATAGGATGGAAGAGACTAGATAGATAGATAGATAGATAGATAGATAGATAGATAGATAGATAGGAAAAGACCACAATAGATAGAAAGAAAACAGAAGGATGGATAGAAAGGAAGATAGATAGATAGATAGATAGATAGATAGATAGATAGATAGATAGATAGATAGGAAAAGACCACAATAGATAGAAAGAAAGGAAGTGACCACGATGGATAGATAGAAAGGAAGAGATGATAGATAGATAGATAGATAGATAGATAGGAAGAGACAAGATAGATAGATAGATAGAAAGGAAGTGACTATGATAGATAGAAAGAAAGAAAGAAAGAAAGAAAGAAAGGAAGGAAGAAAGGAAGGAAGGAAGGAAGGAAGTGATCATGATAGATAGAAAAGAAGTGACCACCATAGATAGATAGATAGATAGAATGGAAGAGACAAGATAGATAGATAGATAGGAAAAGACCACAATAGATAGAAAGAAAGGAAATGACCATGACAGATAGATAGAAAGAAAGGAAGGAAGGAAGTGACCACGATGGATAGATAGAAAGGAAGAGATGATAGATAGATAGATAGATAGATAGATAGGAAGAGACAAGATAGATAGATAGATAGATAGAAAGGAAGTGACCAAAATAGACAGATAATGAACGGAGAGAGAGTTAGAGAGATCCTGATTACCATGCATCAATAAATTGGTAAATTCCATATTGATAAATGTTGCCATAATATGTTTAATATGCAAACTGCCCGGTAAACTTTACAAGACATTCAATGCAAGAACAAATCAAGGAAAAAAGTTCAACATCAAAATGGCATCATTTCAGGAAGGAAGAAATGGTGCTGAAAAAGGGAAGGTGGAAATATATTGCTGGGGTCAGGAAAAAATAAATAGCTTCAGATTAAAAAAAAGGGGGGGATGGCATTGGTCTAACAAGGTGGAGAAATGTTGTAAAAAGGGAAAGAAAAATTTATGCAGTCAGAAGGGGTTCGCAAAGACATCAGAGCAGTGTTGGATAGCTGAGAGAGTTGGTGTGTTGGGTGGGCAGGGGACAGAATAAGGCATCGACTTCAAACCTCAGACCAGAAACAAGACAAGTGAACTGAAAAAAAAAAGATGGGAAAAGAAAAACGAATTTAAGGTGACAACAGGAAAGCCATTCCCTGACATGTTCTTCTTCTTCCGGCAGACCCAGGACAAGCTAGCATGACAAGGGCGGAGAGGAAGTGAACTAAGTAGAATAGAGGGAAAGGGTTGCACTTTTCATGCCTTAAAAACAAGGGAAGAATTTTCTTTTTGTCAACCTAATGGATTTTTAGCAATTTAATTATATCGTATCCCCCTCCCCAAGATCTTTTATGTATGCTTTTTGCCTAAAAAAGAAAGAAGAGGTTTTATCTGTCAAGGATAACTATGGGTACAACAGCTTTTATTTATTTATTTTTTTACTATTGCAGCCTGAGAAAAGTAATGTACTTAGAGGAGTTGGGTCTACACGAATTCTTAGCTACCTTTTCTATTTTCCATCAGTCTTGCTGACAAACCAGTAACATGAAATATTTGCTACAATATATGTCAATTGGACAGAGAGCAAAAAAAAGGAGATTCCTGTTTTAGGAAAGACAAGAATTCTCTTCTTCTGGGCTCTCTAGCATTGGATGGCAGTTTAAGAGAGATAACATGGTGAAGACAATGGAATGCTACTCCGTTATATTTCCTAAAAAAGCAAGGCAATTCAAAGAGTCGGTAGAGGGCCATAATTGCATACATCCTGGTGTTACATGCACTTTTTTTTTAATGTTTAACACACAGTATTATTCGCTAATTTTCTTTCCACTGCATTGGTTTTCAAGGCTGACTCTACTGCATGACTTAATTTCAGTCATTGTCATTTTTTGTTGCAATACCAGGATCTAACAGCACAATTCGAACATGCTATCATTCATTCATTCAAGTCACTTGGAGTGGCAGGATAAAATTTTTGCTTTGCAAACAAAATCACCTCCAGAATATTAAAGGTTAGAATAAATACGAAACGAACATTAACAATGCCATCTGAAATTCAAACTTATCTCAATGGTACTGATTTCCAAGTTGACAACTATTATACCACCTTATGCATACAGATAGATAGATAGATATGAACAGAGCAAAATAGATAGATAGATAGATAGATAATGAACAGACTGAGATAGATAGATAGATAGATAGATAGATAGATAGATAATGAACAGACTGAGATAGATAGATAGATAGATAGATAGATATGAACAGAGCAAGACAGACAGATATGAATAGAGTGAAATAGATAGATAGATAAATAGATATGAACACAGATAGATAGATAGATAGATAGATAGATAGATAGATAGATAGATATGAACAGAGCGAGAGACAGATAGATATGAACAGAGCAAGAGAGATAGCTAGATATGAACAGAGTGAGATAGATAGATAAATAGATAGATATGAACAGTGTGAGATAGATAGATAGATAGATAGATAGATAGATAGATAGATAGATAGATAGAAACAGAGCAAGATAGATAGATATGAACAGAGATAGATAGATAGATAGATAGATAGATATGAACAGTGTGAGATAGATAGATCTGAATACACTTGAGATAGATAAACAGATAGATAGATAGATAGATATGAACAGAGTGAGATAGATAGATAGATAGATAGATAGATAGATAGATAGATATGAACAGAGCAAGATAGATAGATAGATAGATAGATAGATATAAACAGTGTGAGATAGATAGATTTGAATACACTGAGATAGATAGATAGATAGATAGACAGATAGATAGATAGATAGATAGATATGAACAGAGTGAGATAGATTAAGTGACACAAAGAGGTGAAAGTGCTATAGAGGTTTTCAAGACTTACAGCTGAGGCAAGGAACTGGGATGTCAGGAAGGGCCAATTCTGGAGTCTTCATCAGCACTTTAGAAAAACAAGGAAATCAGTGATCAGAGAGTGAATGTCTTATTAACATTTTTCCCTTCCCTTCACTTCAGCTAACATTTCCGACATGGCTTCTGAGACATAAAAGATAGTGGATGTTCTTCGGGAGGAAACGAAATGGATCATTTACAAGTACATCTGAACTGTCCTTACCCCAACACATCTACCCCAGACTTTTTCACAGGCCCTGTGGCTAGGTAGATATTTAAATACTAATCACTCTGATGGGTAGATGGGAGTGGTCTAGTAGAAAATAAAAAGGACACACAGAGATAGAGGAAAGATAGGAACAGAAGGAAATAGATTATTGGCTATATAAAGAGACTCCCGTAGATAGACAGCAAGGAAGGGTAAGAGATGAACAGACTGAATTAGAGAGATAGGTATTTGAACAGACTAAGATAGATAGAAACAGACCAATGGATAGATAGATAGATAGACAGATAACAAACAGACTGAGATAGATAGATAGATAGATAGATAGATAGATAGATAGATAATGAACAGTGTAAATGATAGATAGATAATGAACAAAGCTAGATAGATAGATAATGAACAGACTGAGATAATGAACATAGATAGATAGATAGATAGATAGATAAGGAACAGACTGAGATAATGAACATAGATAGATAGATAGATAGATAGATAGATAGATAGATAGATAGATAAGGAACAGACTGAGATAATGAACATAGATAGATAGATAGATAGATAAGGAACAGACTGAGATAATGAACATAGATAGATAGATAGATAGATAGATAGATAAGGAACAGACTGAGATAATGAACATAGATAGATAGATAGATAGATAGATGTTAACATGCTTGTAGAGAGTGATGAATAAAAACAGTTATTTAGAGATATACAGATATAAAAAAATTGACGTAGATAGATAGATAGATAGATAGATAGATAGATAGATAGATAGATAGATAGATAGATAGATAGATAGACTTAAGAACAGGCTTAAATAACTCAAACTCTTCATATTAGGTTGGTTGATTTTACGATATGTCAACCCTGGTTGGGTTGTTTATTGTTGGATTCTGCACGTGACATTTACTAAAGATTGAACTTTCTACTAATGCTCTACCTAACTATACTCTCCCACCAAGGGAGATTTGTATTGACTGTTATGAATAATCAAGAGTGGTCTCCCCTTGTTTTGTTACTCTCCTCTTTGAGAGAGCTATTTCTGTTTACTGGGACTATAAAAGGACACTATATGCAAACCTTGTATTCTCAGTCGAATAAAGCTTTCTTAATGCCTACACCTGCGTACTTATGTCATTACACTGACTTCCTAAAATTTTCTTTACACATAATTATTGCAGAATGTAAAAAAAAATGATTTTTAGGTAAAAATTAGAACAGGTTTATCAATGTGTATATAGCATTTGTGTTTTATATATATATATATATATATATATATATATATATATATATATGAATCAATCAATCAAGGTAAATCACCAGAAAACCCACACAAGTGATTTGATTAAAGTGGTGAAGGCTTATGCAGAACCATCCACACATTTCAGAACTACTGATACACTCAGTCAATGCCACAGATGAAGCAGACAATAGACCTTAAATATATATTATGTGGCATCCATTGGTCTTGAGTAACCGTGGATCTGTGCCCCAGTTATGCCTGAGTTGCTGATAATGACAAAGCATCTGTTATGGCTGCACAGGCCCACACGGGAGTAAGTCTCGATTGCAATGAATGCATGTGAAGATGCTCTCCCCTGATGTTGCCGTGTTGTTTTCTTGCCTTTGATAATGCTTCTCCCTGGCAACAAGCCTCCGTTTCTTCTTTCTCCACTCCAGCCCTCAGTATAAATCGCGCCTCCATATATACAGAATGGATTTTTTTTATCAATCATTATTTCTTATTAGTATAAATGTTATTTTTAGTGGATGCACGTGTTTGAGTTACCCTCCCCATTTTTGATATTTTCTTAAACAGTGAAATTAACAACAGCCAGCCTAGATCGAGATGTCCCACGAAAGGAAGATTGTGCCTCTGACAGGAATCAAGCCCGTATCTAATTTTCCATCAGAGAAACCACTTCTAAATCTGGGATTTTATCTAAGTGCAGGTATTTGAGCAAGTATCAGATGAAGGTAATTAATAATATTATTATTATTATTATTATTTTCCCCCTTTCCTCTACTTCTCTTTCTCCTCCCCACTCTGGTTTTTTCCTTCCCCTTTCACCATATGAACACTTCCGGTGTTCATATGGTGATGGCATAATTCGCTGGTTTGTTCATTCTTCTGCTTGCCTGAGGAAACCTTGCGGTTGAAACCTGAGTAGTAAGGTAGATTGCATTTTAGTGTTTTTTTGAAAAAAAAAAATATATATATGTAAGCAAATATATGGATATAAATGACAGTATGAAGAAAATATCAATAAAAACAAACAAAAATCCTTATATACAATTATGTTGTTTTAATGTTAATATGTCAACGTTTTTTTACTGGACGTTTCGTGCTAATAAACCATCTTCAGACATATTCATGTTGTATTGATAATGTTATAATTTATGAATATGTCCTGAAGATGGTTTATTAGACCAAACGTCCGACGCTATGACATATTAACATTAAAACAGCATAATTGTATATATAAATATTTTTTTTTCATTTTATACTTTTCTTATATATATTTTATATATATATATATATATATACATACATATATATATATATATATATATATATTATATATATATATATATATATATATATATAATAAATACATATATATATATATATATATACATATATATATATATACATATATACATATATATATATATATATATATACATACATATATATATACATACATATATATATATATATATATATACATATATAAATACATATATATACATATATATATATATATATATATATACATACATACATAAATATACATATATATATATATATATATATATATATATATATATACATACACATACATATATATATATACATACATATTTATACATACATATATATATATATATATATTTTATTATGTTAATAACTATACTCAGTTGGTGTAAAAATACCTGGATAACAAAATTTGCAAATAAAAGTATCTTAAAACAAATAGGTACCAGAGAAAAAAATTTGAAAAAAAAAGAAAAGACTAAAAACATCTGAGTAGGGCATATAAAAGAATCATCCAGTGTCATAATTTCTAGTCCAAAGAAAAAAAAAAACAATCGAGTAAATAAGAAAAAACATAAAGTAATCAATACTCTAAGCAAAGCAGAGTATAAAAAATCTTACTGAGCCAGAAACTATCTACATAGGTTTCACCTAAATGAATAGAATTTATATAATTTCTGTATTTATTATATATGCATGGTACTTATTGGAAAGTGCTCAATATCAGAGATAGAGCTAACATATCCAGTTGTATGAATATGAGCTCGCGATCATCACAGTTTGTCTGATTATCATGAAAGCATAAAACCCAGGGTTAAAAACTCATATCCATACAATGATATATATATATATATATATATATATATATATATATATATATATATATATATATATATATTATATAGTATAATAATCTTATATTTATAAAAATTATACATCATCTGAAAATTTATCATCTGCCTTTGATTTGTGAATAATCAAACCAATACCAAAGGGAAAAAAGGTATAAAAAAGAAAGAACCAAGAACATGTACGTCAAATTTAAAATAATCATCTAGCATTCAAGTCCAAAGCCCAAAGAAAAAAAAAATATGAGTAAGCAAAATAATTAACTAAAGTGCTCAATACAGTAAGTAGAGCAGACCCAAATTAATTAAACCTAGAGATTCCGTTTTCACAAAATTTTCACCTAATATATTTTCAGGGATGGCTTTCTAAAACCAGCCCTCCCTGACAATCTGCTTAGGTGAAACCTTGGTAGGTTTGCCTACCTCTCTAGGTTCAACTATATATATATATATATATATTTTTGCAGTTTATATATGTTGTAATGCTGAATTCAAGAACAAAAGGCATTAAATTATTTCAAACTATCAGCACACTGGAACATTCCTTTCGAAAAATGTTAGAAAGAACTGCAGAACTCAAGAGCCTCAAAAATAAACAAATCCCATTTTTAAAATTGGTAATTAGCAGGACAGACTGATTCCTATAGCTTTGGGTTGCAATCAGTCTAGGAGAAGGACAACTCTGAATTAAAACCCCCAAAAATGAGGAAAGTTGTTTTGGAAGCTTGTGGTTCCAATTCTCTGTATTTGGCTCTTCCAAATAGTGTGGTTGGTTCTGCACAATCCTTAAGCACTAGAATCAAATCCTATATGCAAGAAATTTGGCTGTTCAGTTCTAAGAACTGAATTGCTGTACTCTCATATGTCGAAAATGATGGAAGATTCCAGAATTTATATATATAAGATAAAGAACAAATAGGAAACATTTATCAATCTAACAAGTTTGCCTTTTACTAAAGCTTCATCAGAAAATGAGACATGAAGAAAAAGAAGGAAGACATTCTAATATTTTTCAATAGTCAAACAACACTAAAGTAAAAATAATAGAATTTCTTTCTTTTTCTTCATATCTCATTCACCGATGAAGCTTTAATAAAAGTGAAACATGTTAGATTCCTTATTTGTTCTAGATCTTATCATTGTTAGATTCCAATCTATATTTGATCCCAACTCATATATATATATATATATGAAGAAAAATTTTGAAAAAACAAACAAAAATCCTTAAATGCAATTATGTTGTTTAAAATGAATGAAATGTCGACGTCTGACGTTTCGGTTTAATAAACCTTTTTCAAGACAATATTCATTAAAATACAATTCAGTTCAATTTGACAAAGACGATGGACATAAACAACAAGTCTTATCCAAAACAGATAACTGAAAATTTTTAAAATGATCAGCTTTCCGTTTAGCATGGTCACGTTGTCGCACATGGGCGACGCTTTATCCATCTTTCAAAACGTATTCCTAAAAATTTTTTTCAGATTATTTTGAATGAAAAGAGAAAATGAAAAAGAATTCTATTAGGATCTAAAATTTTTTGAAACGTATGTCAGACGTCGACATTTCATTCATTTTAAACAACATAATTGCATTTAAGGATTTTTTTGTTTGTTTTTTCAAAATTTTTCTTCATTCTGTCGGATCTATATCCATTTACATTTGCTTTATATATATATATATATATATATATATATATATATATATATATATATATATATATATTTTTATAATTATTTTAAGAAAAATATGATTCCTTCTCCACATAAGAGTTCTCATGTTTCAAAAAACAAGAGCCAAATGTAAGAATCTAAATTGTGATTCCTAAATTTTCACTTGAGGATGAAACAGGGCTTGTTACCTTAATACAATTTAATTTTAATAATTATATTGAATGATTTGGCTCTTGTTTTTGAAACATGAGAACTCTTATGTAGCAAAGGAATCATATTTTTTTAAAAATAATTATAATTTAAGCTCTTCTTCTGTATGGAGCACTGTTTTTTAAAAATAAAAACAAAAATACTAAAGAACTCCAGATTATTTACCCAACGTGTTCTTTCCTATTTTTCAAGGACACATGTCACAGTGGATAAAGGCGTTGGTTAGATCCAGTGACAGGACACAAAGACTGTGAGTTCAATGCCCAGTTAAGACAGTGGAGAACTTGGAGAGGGGAATTAACAGGAGATAACTGGTAACTGACATCCATTAGACATGGCACGTGGAACTAGAACAGTCTACCTCAGTGAGCGAAATAAAGGGTTCAGTTCGACATTCCAACCACCTGAGGAAGGCCAGAGCGTACAACGGTCGAGATTTTGTAATAAATATGATGACAAAGATGAGGACAATAGTCCAAATAATGTAAATAAGTAACAACAACTAATATAAAATATATATTAAACAAAAGAAAACCAGAGAGTTTTATATAATTTATATTAT